CGGCGATGATGACGCCATTCCTGCGGTCGGTGCACCAGCTCTCAAACAGCTCTCTGGACAGGCCGCTCTGCATCATACCAGGAGATGCCATCACCACGCTGGGACCGATGTCATCGAAGTGGTCCATGCTCTGAAACACACACATGTAAAAATACTGCATGTATAATGATATGAGCCAACTGACAACCCACGGACTGCATTCACTCACCTTGAGGTTGCTGATGTGCTTGAAGACAAAGGGGTTGTTGATGTTGATAGCCTTGCGGATCTTGTCGTTCATGGCGTTGATGTAGGTCTGGTACACAGCCATGCACTTCCTGGCCAGAGAAGAGGCGTAGTAGATAGGGATGTCGTGGAGCTCCGGGTGGTTCTGCCAGTACTCGTCTGGATCAAAAACACGAGCAGATCAGAGGTCAATAGGGTCGGAGCCGGGCTCATGGGCAGAGGAGACCGAGAGAAGACCTCACCGAGGATGAGGAGCAGCTCCTGAGCCCGTCCCAGGGCGAAGACAGGGATCAGGCAGCGGCCCTCCCTGTTCACGATGTCGTGGACGGTGTTGCAGAAACGAGCCTCCCTCTCCTCACGCTTCTCGTGGATGTGAGTGCCATAGGTCGACTCCTGAACGCAGAGCAGGAAACATTACTGAGTATGCTTGGCTCGCTGATTCATCACAGTTGCATCAAGATTAGCAGTCACATGATGTAGTAACAGCAGGTGTTTGCAGCTCCAGGTTTCACCTTTAGGGTGTGATCTCCACACACGGGATCATGTGGAGATGTCAGATCTTACAGACATTTGAGGCGGTTACACCTCATTCATGGTTTTACTCCGTTTCCTGTCACGTTTCTGTGGTCGATGTTTCTAACGATGACCTCAGAAGTAAATTGATCCCTGTGAAGTTCAGGCTGCTCTAAAATATCAGTTTTTTTTTCTACTCTTGGATCTGGATGATGTCACTGAGATGCTCCACCCATATGTGGATTCTGTGAGGCAGCCAATCAGGAGAAATTAGGCTTAAACTGGGCGTAGCTAAAAGAGGACAAACCAGCCCAGAATCAGATAAAGGAGGATTATTATGAACGACGGATCATGCAAAGCTGCCATAAACTTTGAACAGTTGATTTCTGATTTCAGAATCACTCACTGTGATGAGGATGTCCGGCTTCACGCTTGGGATCTCTGCTGCCATCAGGTGTCTGTCCTCTTGACGGGAGAAATCACCTGTGTACAACAGCTACACACACACACACCATGCGCGATTAGCAGCTGTGGCCATGCTGTCCTCAGTAAACTCACTCATTCACAAAAACAAAGTGCCTGTCTGAGGTGGTCCCTCCGGAGAGACAATAGTTTTGGAACACACCAGCACATTTTCTCTGCTGTTTAACGCAGAAAAACCCGACTGCGACGCGACAAAGCATCACCCCGCTGATCATGTGTTTAAGACAGCCTCGCCCTCATCGTATTCACATGAAGTCACAGGAACTTATTTCACCTTTATTTTCAGTTCTTGCAGCGTCTTTATTTCTTAACAAGCTGCAGTGATTAAAAAAAAGGTCAAAGAATCTGAACTGTAGTTTTTAAACTGCAACTAAATGTCCATAAAAACTCTGAGTGTGTACATGTAGCAACACGCCCACAGAGGCGCAAACACTCAGAGGAGGCTGGATCAATGTCTGAAGAACTCACCTTGACGCCGGCGATCTCGATCATGAACATGGCGGCTCCGAGGACATGGCCGGCGTGGTAACACCAGAACTTAATGCCAGCCACCTCCTTCACCTCGTGGAAGTTGATGGTCTCTATCTTTTCCATGCTGTCCTCCAGGTCGGTCTCCGTGTACAGCATGTCGTCAGCTGAGATGTTACTGCAGACACGATTCAGACAATCAAGCGTCAAAGATTCTAAGCAACTCATCAGCAGCGTCTTTGACGGCAAACAGCACTTACCTCTGCTTCACAACTCCTACAGCAGCTTTGCATTACTCCAGTTTAAAATAACCCTCCTTTGGATGTCTTGTTATTTTAATTTAAAGCTGCTTATCACTGACCTGACACTGACCTTTGCTCGTTCGAGGTAACCCAAAAGTGAGGCTCACCAGCATTCGCCCACACTCTTATTAAACCGTTAAAAACATTCTCAGAGTCAACGTGTCTACCGGCGAGTCTCACCTGACTTTGACGTAGTCGGACAGCAACCACCGGTAGATGGCTTTGGTGGCGTGCGTCATGAACGTCCGACCTTTAAAGCTGGTCTTCTGCAGGAACCAGGGCAGAGCGCCGCAGTGGTCCAGGTGGAAGCTGATGGAGGGAGGAAGAGTCAGCACAAACATCTGCGGTACATCAGTATCATCATGCTGCAGCTTCTGCAGTCATGTGACCACTCGGAGGCTGTGAACTCACTGGCTGATGAGCAGCAGGTCGATCTCAGCTGGGTCAATCAGGTCAATGTAGGGCAGAGCGTCCATCCCCTCCAGACCAGGATGGATCCCACAGTCCAGCTGACACACACAAAGAGACACAGACCTTTACACACACTGAGGCTTCACGTTCACAGCTGGAAGGTTCATATTCACTATCTCACCATGATCTTTCTTCCTTTGAACTCCAGGATGATGCAGGACCGTCCCACCTCCTGACCGGCCCCCCTGCACATAGACACACACTGAAACCACACTCCACACCTCACCCCAACATCCAGCTCAAACTCACTTTAAACCAAACTCCATTCAAAAATCAGTCAATTTTTATTTGTAAAAGAGCAAAACCCTGAAAGAATTGGAGTCACATGACTACACTCATAAGATTAAATATGCACTGACAGACGACCTTATATTTAATTATCAGCTGTGTCGAAGCTGGCAGGGAGATCTTTTCAGATTATAAGTGTTGTTAAATGAGTTCTGAATCAAAGCGCTTCACTGGAAACTTCCGCGGACCTTTTTAAGTTGTGTGTTTTACGCGTTTTATAGTTTATTTATGAACCCTGAATGAGTGATTTTCTGAATGTAGTTCTGTGAGGAGGGGGAGCCCGCACACAGAAAGAAGCTGAAGTTGCCGTAAACTCACAGCGGGCGGATCAGCAGCTGGTCGCTCTCCTCCGCCGGAACCGTCGCGTCGGGTTTACGTTTAGCCGCCATGTTGTTTACTTCCACACGCCGAAAAACAAACAAACAAACTCCGTCATCACTCCGTTAGTTAGCCACCTGCTATCAACAGCGGCTCCACAAGGTTTACTAATATGTAACTTCCGGTCCCCGGTGAAATCTTTCCGTGTAGTAACATTAGTCCTAACTTTTTGTTCCGCGATGAATCCCGGAGGAGAAGTGTGCTTTAAAGCAATCTAATATTTTTTTTTAAATCAGATTAATATGTATCAAATAAATAAATAGTATTCATCAATAAATGCTCAAATTAATTATTAACTAAATATATACTACTAATAATTACAAACAAAAATTATTTTCGTTTTTGTATCTTTGCTCTTTAAGTCTATGCACTTTTAATTTAGGAGATTTTAAAACTCTTTAAACAAATTCATTCTATAAATTGGCTTAAATTAAATTTAAAATCATATACATGACTATGTTTTTGTGTATTATATTTGAGTATTTAAATATTTTGTACTCAAGGTATTAAAAAACAATAATAAATAAATAAAAACAAATGGTTTACATAAAAACATTGACAAAATGCATCCTGCTCTGCTCGCTGATGCTTCCCCCCCTCACTGATTTTCTTCTAGAATAATCAGGATGAACATCAGAGCCACAGATATGGCATGAATATTATTGATCGTTTTCTAATAAAAGGTGGAAACAGTTTGAATTTCATACAAGTTCTTAAAAATGTTTCACAATAAAAGCTCTGTCAAGAAAGTTATTTTGACCAGCGAGACTTTATAGGACTATTAATTTGAAAAGATCCAGGATAATTCGAGTTTGTATAAATAGAGTGATGCAGTAACTTTAACAGATTTGAGAAGTTTAGAAAGAGTGATGTAGGAAAACACGGACACCGAACAGCTCACAGCGAAAAGCTGTTTGTGTTAAACTCGGCTCTTAGTAAAGTCCTCAGCTCCGAAGCTGCTTTCAGGTCTTGAAGTGAGAAACTCTTTTATGCACTAAAGGAAACGTTTAGACTGAACTTGAGTATTTTTGTGTGAACCACTTTGTTTATAGAACCACGTTATTCCTTCCTCAGCTTGGTTCGGTGTTTTACACCAGCTTTTTATTTTGACGTGTTTTCTGTTTTTATTGATTTCAAAACCTATTTGTTCCCCTGGAAATGCCTTTTTTGTTTTTTTTTTAATGCCGTTTAGTTTTCACAGTTTGTTCATCCTGTGTGTCCTTGTCAGTTTTCTCTTGTGTATCGATTCATCATCTCCCAGTTATTAGTCTATTTCACGTGTCAGAGCTTTACAGGTCCATCTCAGAACAGGGGTGCTTTCTTTGACTACAGACTATGTTTCTGATTAGTTTCAGCCCTAGATCCTTCACAGATCATCAGTAGTTGTTCTGTTCCGTATGGCTGTAATTCCTGCTCTGACCACAGTGTGGTGTGGTTAAGATGGTCGGTGTAATTAGCGATGTCCTGTTAGTACACAGGTATGTCTGCCTGATTATCTGTAATTCCAGCTGGTCTGAAAGTCCAAACTGATGATTTTCCAAGTATGTAGAAAATGAAAAGGCTCCGCTCACATAAAACTGAACATATGTCATTGTTTTAGGTAACACTCATATGAGAGTAAACTGAAATATTTTAAGTGATCGCAGAGTTTGACCATTTCTTTACATTTGATTTTTTTGCCAATTATTTGTCTTCCAACTTATGAAATGCTTCAGACTGCTCTTCACTGAATCACAGAAACATGTAAAATAATAATGTAAATAAAAACTGAAGCAGTGAAGCGTCTAAACAAATCTGTGCCACTGACAAAACTTGTGGGAAATAAATGAGAGTGAAAAAGTGAGTGCTGGGAAAGAAAAACAGGACAGACTCTCACAGGTACACTTATGATGATTTTAATAAGTCGAAAATACATTAAAATTTAAAGGACACTCAGATTTTCTGCTCAGATTACATGTTTGATCTTAAAATAATAAAAATAATTTCATCCTGAAGCTTTTACAAACAAGCTGAATGTTCCTGATGTAACACAGCTAGATCCCAGCAGCAGAACCACAGAAATGTACATCACATCCGCCAAAAGTATGTGGACGCTGTGCCGGTGCGGTCATCCTGACAGAATGAAGATGAAGTCCTTTCATAGTAAACTGATTATTTCTATAAATGAAGCTGGTTTTGTAACAGGAAGCAGAAAAAAACAAAGCTGTTGTTTCGTCGCGTTTTTTTAAGGCAGTGAAGGATTTTACTGTAACTGTGTTAAGCTGTAGTTCCTGTTCTCTGTCTGTGGAGGCGCTGTACTAACGTAGCTCTGCTGTGTGTAAACGTATCACTGAAGAACACTGTTCACATACTTTTGGTCTGGTCTGCCCTTTTTGTGTCCGCTGCATAGCTTTTAGAACATTTCAAACTCAGGCCGACAGCTTTTGAGGAAGAGCATGAGTGAAGATCGAGACCCCAATCAGATCTCTTTGGATGTCGGACTCTCCTCTCAGGTCCACAGGAGGATCCAGATGTGCCCTCAGTCTGACCACAGTTGGAGGCACGAATCACTCCGACAGGAAGTGAACAAAGGTGCGAGGAAACACTCCCCGCCTGGTCGGATCGCTTTCGATGTGACCGATCTGAAACGCAGACGGTGGTTAAATCACAACCTGGACAACGGGTCAGGATTCTTCTTCAGGTGGGTTTTCATCTAAACGCACACACATGCTGTAATAAATGTTGTGAAGTGAATGAAGTTGTGCTGATGATGCGTTTCCTGTGCTGGAGGCGTTTCTCACTCACCCACCACTCGCTGTCCTCCTCGCCGTCCACCACGATCAGCTCTCCCTCGCTGAACGTCAGCTCGTCTGGACTGTCCGCTGCACAGTTGTAGATGGCCCTCACCCTCTGAGGCCTCTGCTTCTACACACACACACACACACACACACACACACACACACACACACACATTTAGCAGTAAAGCTGTGTTACATGCTGGACTTGTGATGATGACTGTGTCTGTGTGCAGAAATAAATGAGGTGGTGTGTTTGAGGACTTACAGAAAATGTAGTTCTGGGTTTGCGGGGTGGAGGAGACGGATTATGAGGGGACACGATCGGACGACCTGCCAAAGAGAGATAAAGCCCCCACAGACTTCAGAAAAAAGTTTCTCTTCTGTAACTTCACCTTTGTTTGAACCAGATCCGGAGGCAGACATTTGATACACCCGGGGCTTAGGCCTAAAGGGTAGTATGCATGTGGGATT